AAAAAAAATTTTTTCAAATAAATTCATGAATCCTACCAAACTATTGGAGGATTTTTTTCATGAATTTAAACTTTATGGAATCTATTAAACTATTAGAGAATTTTATAAATCAATTTTCAAGTGAAATATTTTTAATAAAGATTTTATATTTTATCCTACCAAACTATTGGAGGATTACATCTTATGTTAAATATTTTCAAATTATTAGAAGATTTAATGAATTTTTTCAAAAATAAAATTTTATAAACATTTTACAATAAAATCTCACCAAATTATTGGGAGATCTGTATCAAAGTAAATATTACCAAACTGTTAAAGGACTTTACAAATTATTTTTTAGAGTAAAATACTTTAATAAATCCAACGATGGAGCTTTTTTAAGGTAGGATACTAGTCTCCATGAATACTTTTGAGATGAAAAGATTATCTTAAATTGCTATTAAACTATTACAGTAATTTTAGGATTAATTTTTAATATTAAATATTTTGATAAATTATAAATATATTTAAGGCTTAGATAATTTGAAATCAAATTAGTACCATCTTTTGGATGGGTGTTGTGAGGGTGTTATAATATTTTTCACACATAACCCTACTTTTGAATCTAAAATTTGATTTTGTTGATCAGAATCTAATATTTAAAAATACCTAAGTTAATAATAGGATTCCTTTTTAAATGGGACATATTTGATTAGGTGGTTAATCACACCTAAACAAAAAAGATTGGTAGCAACTTTTAAAAATCATGTCTAGCGATAAGTCGATAGATTTATACGTTATGACAGCAAGGTGTCATCTCAAGTCATGATAAACTTGGGGACAGTTGGGGTTGACAGGCCTCGTATTGTGCCTTTGCATTAAATCATAGGTTAAAAGCTAGTGTTTGCTATGCCCTTCGATTTTCCCTGCTTGAGTCGATTTGATAAGTAACTAAAGATCATGAGATGGTGTTTGCATAGAAGGGGCACCATCGAGCCTGAGGAATGAGCGAGCTAGCAAGTAGGCATGCTGCTAGACCCTGGTGGCCATTTGATTGAGGTGTGCTATTGCTGGAGTAGCACACCCGAGTTCCATGAGGTGGGACAAGCATGATGTCAGGTATCATCATACATGCGAGTAGCCTAGAATAAGGCTAAGGGCTAAGGCTCTAAAATATGAGTTTTATGAGACAAAATGAGCCTAGTATGGCTTTGGGCTGGCTGCTAACTAACATTTGAGTAATGCTTTTAGGTTCAAAGCACAAGAGCTTGCATATAATACGTGTAGGCATGGTGTTGGATTCTCACCATGCTAGATTGAGATATCCTCATGAGAACCAGCATTGCACACCCTTATTTGAATTCAAAGGTTGGTGCTTAGAACTTTGGTGTATGTGGGCATGGACGGATGCTCGGGGCCAACCTGAGATTTGTGTGCTGATAATGGTGATAGGAGTTGGGCTCTTCCCTATACAGTTTAAAAATGTGCGTGCGACCTTACAGGGTCTGAATCAATAAAAGCTCATGAGTATACAGATTGAAGGATCAATAACAATTTATCGATGAAAAAATAGACTCAGGAAAGGTTGACATCGACTAAGAGTAGTCTTGATGCCGCATAGACACGTAATTTTGGTTCAAAGAATGCGTAGCCTTGGACACTAGGCATGAGAATAAAAGGAAATACCAGAAAATGACTTTACCATTGTTCTTCTATTATTAATGGTGTATTTGGAAGACTAGTTGATGGTATTTAATATCCAATTCAGCACATTGAATCTGAAATTGAATAACGCATGCATCAACATTTTTTTATATTGTATGTTTCTTGGAAATTCTATTCAATGGATCCATTAATTACCATGATTATTATTGCAAGGAAGGCAAAGCAAAAGCTCCTGCTTTCCCATATCCAAGTAATAAAATGGGAAAACATGCAACGAAGAATTCAGTTCTGGCAACTGCTTTGCCATACATTGAAAATCCTGTTTCAAAGGTCTGCCCCTCGTTTCTCCACCATTGTTGGTATGATTAGGCCAGGTTAATTAATTAAGAACGAATAGCCTAATTTATTTTATTTTTTTATCATCAATTTGGTACGTAAAATAAATCACTTTAGTCTGATCTAATTGAGAAAAAAAAAGGTGACGTAATGGGTACTGTCAGTTTGCTAAACTCATTCATGGAACATTGTCAATGTGAGATCTTACATTGCATTGTATCTTTATTTGAATCCACATTCATCTCTTTGAAAGAATCTGGCTGTTCCACATTTTTAATGTTTTCTTATTTTTCAAAAAAATTGATTAAACTTCCTTGTTGCTATCAGTATGGGAAAATTCCCAAAATTTTTATCCAAAATTCCAAACTGTTTTCCTAAAAAGAACTTCGATAGATCTAAACAATTTCCATTATTGATGAACTTTTCGTATTGACAAGTCAGCAATAAATATAGAGTGCGAAAGTGGAGTCTCTTTCATTTGAATCCAAAACCGAAAAAAATGTTCATAAAAAATTCATATGATTTTCGTACTTAACATCGTAATCAATAAATTTTCATTCGAAATCAAGTTTTATAATTAGAATTGTATCCGAAACTAAGGAGAATCGAACTCCTATTTACCTCAGAGAACCTGGCGTCATCATTTCCACTTGAAGATCAAGTATCCCCGAAATCTCGAAAATCAACATCAATGAACTGAGGAATCGCATCGGACAAGAACTTGGACAGAGCAGCGTCGATCGAAAATCTTTCTATGTAGAAAGGGTCGTTGAGGATCGGATCAAAGTGGAGAAAATTGTTGTTGAAGATTGGAAGATGCCAAGGAGGCAGATAAGGGGCTGGTAAATGGAGGAAGTTTAGAGTTTCGGTTCGGGACTGCGAAGTGGAGAAGTAGTCGGTGTTGAGAAAACAAGCTGTGGTTAAGAGAGAAAGGAACTGTGGGGGAAGGAAATGCAAGCTTTTTTGGGCAAATCAATTTATCTATTTTCGTTAATTATTTTTTGGTATATATAAGTTTATATTTTTAGTTTCATATAATGTTTAGTATCTTCAATTTTTTCCAAGCATATATTTAAACAAGCTTGAGATAAGTTTTTCATTGTTTCAGGTAAAATTTATTATGAAGTCTTCCTAGATTTTAGGAGTTGGTCAAGCACAAAAAATTTTAAGTAATTTTCTTATATTGTATTTTTAAAAAATATGTAACTCCTGTATCTTTTCTTTTTTTTATAGATAAAAATTTTTGTTAAAAGAAAAATGGTATAATAGACGTCTGCAAGGATAAAGATAAATCATGCTTCGAATAGTAAATAAGATATTTTATTCTTTCACACATACATTTGAAAATTTGGCTTCAATGAGTTGTTACATATGAATGAAAGAGTTTGACTGTAAAATTAGAGAAATCTAACTCCTAGGATAAATAGAAAAGTTGTTATTTATTAATATTAGTATGTCATATAACATTATCATGCTATTTTCTTATGCTCATACTCTTACATTTGTATTACATTTGGTAATCGCTTTCATTTTAACGATTTTAATATCATTATTGTAGTGTTTGTCTAAGGAATTTTGTTCAAAAGATGAGGTAATTTTAATTTTCAGACTGTTACTGTTTTCTTTTTTTAATTCTAATTTACAAGTTTTTTTTAGAAAATATCTTTACTCCTCTAAGCAAACTGCATATTTTGCATATAGCATCGGCTTGCATGTCATAAGGTATAGTTTTTCAAAATAAGATAAAAAAATTAAATAAAAAGAACACTAGCAGCAACGCGTGGGATGAGATCTTGTATTATTATATTACAACATATATTGACATTTGATTAATTTTATCACATGAATGTTTATATGAATAATTTTTATATATGATATGTAGTATAATTTTGTATAAAATAAAAATTAACTTTTCAAAATTTTACATAAGATATTGAAATTTTAAATAGTCTTTTTATATTAAAATTTTAAATAATAAAACTTATATCGATCTTAACTCTTACTATCAATTTTATATTAAAAAAATAAGTAAGAAATTTGATTTAATTTTATCACTTATTATATCCTTATATTAAAAAAAATCAATTTAAAAATTATCTATCTAGTCTTAATTATCCTTCAAGAATTATTCTATAAATTAAAATTAAAATATGTGATATATCATTTTTTTAAAATTTTTTTGCTTTGCAACATGTTGGAATTCTATTGCTATTGTAATTTTATTTTTTCGGTTTGCATCTTTCTTTTTTCAAGGTATATTCTATTGTCATTACAAATTTATTCTTATGAAAACTAATATTTTTTTCAAAAATTTTTTCACACATCTCCTAACATTTTTTTTTTCATATTTTGTACAATATTTGAATAAGATTACAAAAGTATTAAAAGTATGCCTATGCTTTTTAATTTTATTATTTAATTCATAATTCAATAATATATATAGTTATATGTTTTTGTTTTTTTTTTTTAAGAAAAACATATAATTTATTTTTGTTTGATATAAATTTTAGGTGTATAAATATTAGTGTAGATAAAAATAGTGCAAAGTAAAAACATGTCATTTTCTTCTTTTTTTTTAAAATTATTATTTATAATAAATTAGTGAGATATAAATTTTATATGCTATAAATTTTGAAATTTTTAAAAAAATATTAATTTATATATATACACATGTAATAAATAAAATTATTTTGTGTATCTTACAAATTATAATATAGTTTGTTTATAAATAATAAGAATTAAACTTTGTACAAATTTTTTTACAAAAGAGATTTGCAATTTAAAAATAAGGAAGAGGTTTTAAGTGTTAAAATTTAAATTTAAATTTACTAAATGTCATCTTTTGAAAGTGATTGTATGAAACAACTGAACTAACTTCAAGTTTAATTTTGAATAAAATTTCAATGATTTTTAAAGTACATATATTGATTATAAGGAATAATTTATATTAATTAATAAATTTTAAAAGGGAAAAACACAAAGTTAAAAAAGAAATTATATTAATATTAGGGGAGGCGGATTTTACTTCTCCCTCTTGTTTTAGGTACTCTTCCACATTGCTACTAAGACTGATACGAACAAATGTCATCAAATCCCATGTACTCATTTCTTTCGATTCTTTTGATCATCTTATCAATGCCTAAACCCCCTGTTTCACAGAAAAAAAAAAAAAAAAAACCTTTGTCAGTTTTTTGGCAATTTCAAGAAATTTATCAGTCAATAATATTATCAAAAAGAAATAGACAGTTTTATAGCAAAAATTTCAATCAGAGAGAGAAAACCAGAGTAATTATAAATTAAATACCTAGTGAAATTGCACTCCCAAAGATCATCCCAGCTAGAACGAAGATAATTATTGATGCTCTCCCGAGTATTTTGATGACTCTTCCCACTACATGTTGCCCAACAAATGCAGCAATTGTGGCCACACCAGCCAGGTAAAGAGCTGTTCAAAATATATCTGAAAATAAGTATCTCTTTGAGATTTTTCAACAAATCATATATTTAAAATTGTAATAGCCCTTTCAAGCAACAGAATACCATAAGGAACTGGAAATCTTTTCAGAAGATAATATTCAACCACTGACATGGATGCTGAAAATAACATGGCAAAGGTGGATGTTGCACTTGCCACCTACATAAAAATTTGTAACAGGTCAGTTGAGGTCATGTCAGTCCGAATTTATAAACACTCCAATCCTATGTTGATACAAACTTGAAGTATCCGTGTCCGTTACATATTCAATGGACAAAGATATGGATATCTGATTCTTTAAATATATCAAAAAAATTCAATAAAGCTATGTGACAACACATTCGTATCCACACTAACTCAAGTTTGAATAGCATAACTCCAATCTGTTACTTGTTACCTAAGTAATATAAAGAGAAACCTTTGAGAAGGATTATAGTATTAATATATGCACCTGAGGGGGGATTCCCATTTCAAGGAAAAGAGGTCCCAAAATGAATCCTCCTCCAAGACCAAGCATCCCACCAAGTATACCAGCCAACACACCAAAGGCACAGTAAATCACAAGCTTGTGTACTCGCCAGTTTGAGACAACATCCCCCTTTGATGCAATTTTTCTCCTCCCTTTGTACAGGCAGATTGCCTCGTATGAAGATACTCCAACAGCTACTGGGATCTAGGCAATGTATAATCAATTATAAGATTTCAAGAATACCTCAAGGGAGTAGCTTAAGTGTGACTATGAAATTTGAAGCACCTGCAAGAAATTTAATACCCAGTATTCTAGTGAACAGGTTTTTGAATGATTCTGTGGGCAAAACATATTATTTTTTGTTAGTTCAGGAATGTTAAAAGCACACAATTTATATACATATAAAGGAAGTTGACCAAATAGTAGGAAGAAGACCTTAGCAATCTGTAAAGCAAGGATTAAACTCCAAACAACAATGAGAAGTCCAAGCTCCTTCCAGTATATATTCTCAATAAGAGACACCTGACAAGATGAAAGTCATGATCATTGAGAGATACATATATAATCCAATTTAGTTAGTAAGACAGAGAAAGAAAGTTCAAAGTTTTCCTCATGTTAGTAGACTTATAGGAGAAAGAAAATGGAAAATATAACTAGTCATGGCCTTGCCTTTGATTTTCCTGATTCTTTGTTTCCTGTTTGGGTGCCACTTGGAGTAACTTCATGTTGAGATTGGATTTCCACCATTTCATTAGCATTGCCTGATAAATTTCAGTATTCAATTTTTTTTATTAAGCCATAAGTGGTTTCTAGGTTTTTATTCAGTCCAAGAAAGTTTATCTACGGTGGGTCTAACAAATTCATGAAAAATTATCTTATCACAGTCTTCAAGTGAATTCGAACCCAAGCAACAAAGAAAGAACCACACTCTCTTTGATATTTAAGCCAACCATCCTTTGGTAAATTTCAGTATTCTATTCAATTAAAGATAAAATGGACAAAAAATAAAATGATAACTCACCATTTAATTCTAGCTGTATTGCAGTTTCCTAAGAAAATCAGATACAAGTAAGACAGGGCAGAACAAGAATTAAGCTGAATCATACTTCAAATTAACAGGCCTAGAAAAGGAGATATATTTCACTACGTTTTTCTTTCTGGTTTCGTTCTTCCATGTTTGAACACCTTTGCAGAATGACTTAGTTGACATGCCTGTGCATCAGAATAGCCCATGAGGAAAACTTTCCAAGAGGGAACATGAAGAAAATCATAAATATTCAAATATTTGATACCTATGAAGACAATAATTAGCAAAACTGTGATCATCCAATCAGCAAAGATCACATTGAAGCCAACTCCAGCACTAATTCCCAGAACTAACATTGGTTGAAACAGAAGTGCTAGGTCATAGTCAATAAGAGGCAATTCCAGTGTAGGATGCCTTTGCCTTATATTGTAGCACACAGTTGCAGCCGCTGCACCAGTAACCATACCTGACAAGAAGAAAAAGAAAAAAGTTGACAACGCAAAAAATTAGGATGAGAATGTTTCAAAATGAAGAACAAAGGTATGACAATTCCAAATCTTTGGCGCAACACATAAAATCTTAGGACCTTAACAATTTTAAGTTTCATCGGTCTCTATGATCTTGGTGTCAGCAGTGGCAGATCCGAAATTTTTTTGAGTGTCCAGGATTTATTCATCTAAGAAACATCCACTGATTTATCAATTTTGTGACGAAAAGTGTGTTCAGAGAAAAATTTTTGGGGTGTCTACTAATACACATGGAACCGAACCGCCTCTGGGTGTCAGAAGAAAAGTCGAAGAACATAGAAAGTTGTCAATGATTGAAAGAACGGATTGTTCTTACATTTTGATATCGCTGTTGATGATTTGGGATCAAACCCAATAATCAAGGCAAGCATGGGAACAAAAATACCGCCTCCACCGACACCTCCAACACTGCCAAATGCTGCTCCAAGGAATCCAAGTATTGAACCCACTACAATTTTCCAGCCAAATCTCATTTCCTGCAATGAAGGCTTAGTTATGGTGAGGTCCGACATATTGAAATTCGAAAAAAAAAAAACAAAAACAGATGTTTAACTGCATGCATACAAGGAAACTCCAAAAATTGGACTTACTGGCCATTCATGTTCATAAAGTGGTTTACTTTTCAGCTCTAAGAACTTCAATGCTTTCCGAACATAGTTGTTCTCTTGAGTCTCGTTGTAACTTGAATCTTCGTGACTCAAACTTGGTTCTGATGCAACAAGCACTGAATCCACAGCAAGAAAACCAATCAATATAAAACCTGTCAATACCAACCGCCATCGTTTTGACCGAGCAGCCATCTTGTTGCTTAATCCCAACATCTATCTCAAATATCCAAATTTCTCTAACTCAACATGAACCAGAAGCATAAAACCGACAAGCTTCGTCGAAAACCCAGTTTTCAGACATAATTGTGCCGCATGTTAAGCACAATCTACACAAATTTTGGTACCTTTTTTTTTTTTGTCAGTCTTTAAAATTGCAACCTCTATAGTTCACATTCAAAACTATTCCAAGTAGACATTTTTGGAAGACGCAGGCATGATCTTAGAAAAACAAATTTAAACAACTTGTTCTTGAATGATTTTGTTTTTAACTGGTATAGCATCGCAAAGCAAAATGAGAAAGCATATGCATAGGAACATAAAGAAAACAGAGGCAAGAAGGGGGATTCTGCTGTCAATTTGAAATCGTGTCATTCAAGGAACGGGTGTGGGCCTTTCTAAACTTGGATTAACAATCACATTTAAGCAATGCATGTTCACAATTCAAGATTTTTTTTATTTTAGATGTTCATTTATAATTTATATAACTGTTAATAAATTTATTAATTTTAGTAATAAAAAAAGTTTTCAAAAAAAAATTTAGGGGTATCCAAAAGAAAATTTCTCTTCAATTTTTTTTTTTATTTTTCAATTTTTGAAAAAACATGTACATCCTACATCCCAAATTTTTTTATTTTTCAAATTTGAAAAATCATGGACATCATCTGCAACTTATTGTCCATGCAGCGGTAACAGAAGCTAACTCAACTACCAATAACCTCAAGTCAAAACTAAACTAAACTAACAAGTTAAGCACGGTATGGTCCTTATTTTGTTGTTATTGAACTAAAAAAAAAATCACTAAAATGAATCTTGGAAAGTAATTTTCTGGATTTTATATATTTATAGTAATTGCTTGGTCTGGTGGTCGTGGTCATCACATAGTTCTCCAATGAGAATGCTATAAATAGACTAACCAATAGACAATATCAACTGAAGATATGCCAGCCTAGTCGTGTGATTTGATCAATAGATAATAGCAAAAGATGTGTTCGAAAGTATGGTTATTGAAATTATTGTGCAAACAGTTTCAAAATATGAAATCAGATAATTGTAAAACTTTTAACGATTATAATTAGGTATAAAAATTTTATTTTATTTTTTATTACTATTATCATTGTCATTATTATTGTTATTAGCATTTTTTTTTTTTATGTAGTTTAATATATTTAAATTAAATCCTATTAAATAAAATTTCTGACTCGATCGCGTGATCAACACTTTTCTGCCCCTTCTCCAAATAAAATTATGGCCGTGAAACCTTTGTCAAAAAAAAAAAAAAAAAGTGAAAGTGAAAGTGCTGATTCACATTTTAGATTGTGACAACCAATAGAAACAAAGTGCTAGCTGTTAATAGTTTGATGGGGTTTGAGGAGCTTATGAGAAAATAATTCCAAAATTTTGATAATCAATAGGAGAGTTATCCAGAGACATGTGAACATGTTTTAGATTTCAAATAATTTTCTGCTTCATGTCGTGCATTCATTGTTTTCTTATTTGAGTTACAATGAAATTTTCCTGGATTGCCAATTATGTGACCAAGTATGATTTAATCAGTCTGATTTTATAGGAATATTATATTCTTTGGTATATGCGCTTAAAATTTTGGTATATATCTTAGGGGTAGAGATACAGCAGGAACTCAAAAGTACGTTTTTATTTTTCAAATTCTAGAAGAATTTTTTAGAACAAGGATACACCCACATCCTTCCCTATTCTAAAAAATAATGACGAAAATATTTATTTTCATTCTTAATAATGCAACTCTGATACTATTTTAGTTGACAGGATTCCTCATGCAGGACATAAAGTCAAGGTCATTTATGTCAAGTGACCTCTATAGGTACTTCAGACGTTAATTTTCGATAAATCTCTCGACCCATCAACTACACAAGTAATTAACCTGCCTAACAATGTCAGGACAAGAACCAATGCTTGACCACGAATCACAATGTAAGAACCCATATATAATTGTGACCACTAATCAATATGCTATATAATATTCGAGCATTTTGACTCAATTATAGATTTATGTATCTTATTACTCAATCAAGTTCGAAACCTTCTGTATCGATAAAAACTTTCTACAAATTAAATTTGCCAAAATAAAAATGTAATATGACTAGATAGGTAATGAAGCTTATGACAATTTAGTAAGTATTGCTTGATTTATTTTTATAGATAATTAATTTAAAAATAAATATGTAATGATAATACTTTTTTTTTCTTTTTTTTTTTTGTAAGATTTTAAATTAAAGATAGATAATTAATAGCAAGTAATTATTTTCTTTCCTTATCCTGGATCCATTGTTTTGAAGAAAAATCATTTTCATCTGCTTAAGTTATGGGTCAATTGCATTCTGGTAATAAGGGGAGCGTTATTATTGTTATTAAATATTATTTTTTTAAAAATAATTACATGAATCAAGTTTTATTTTTTAATCTTCACTTTTAACATCAAGCGTTTTTATTTACTTCTTTTACTGTTTCTAATCCCTTCTTAATTAATTAAGGGCTTGCTGTTTCTAAAAGTTAACGTCAATCAAATAGGTGGATCTTAATTTTCTAACTTACCTGGAACATGGTTGAACGTGTGAACATGTAAATATGTATTCCTTGAAACTCGAAAACCACATATTTTTTGTGGTGTCCATTATTTCAAGAATCTAGCTTCTATGACAAAGGGATCTGATCTTTTTGTGATTGATAAAAGCTTTAGGTACATTTCATTTAGCAATTGACAATTAATGTGACTCATAGCATCACATAAAGTTCAACATGTTGATTTGAGGATATGATATAATTAATTTCTAATTGAAGCATTATGTTAAAAGCCTATCAATTTGGATTTTATTTTTTAAATGTCATAATTTAAAAATAAGAGAATAATTATAAATATCGGTGTCTAAATTTTTTAAAATGAATGTATAAATCAATTAAATTAAATTTTAAATTTTTGTATTATATTTTTAAATGAATGTTGAAATTAAGATAATATTACAAAGTCAACCTATATCACATATAACTGTTGATTTCCAATTTTTAATTATATTGGATATATAATTTGAAAGTTTTATTAATTCCTTAATCGAGTAAATCAGCGCTAAAGTAGATTTGTTTCGTTCCCACACTTTAATTTGAGATTTTTCTTTCATTAAAACATTTTAATTATCCATGAAGATTTATACAACTTAGAAGCTTTCACATCACTGAAGGAATCGCATTTTGTCTAGTTATCGGATTTTTTTTCACCAAAAAAATAATAAATCATAACCTGAAGATAGAAAGAAGAAAACCCGTTGGATGATATCTCTGCATGAACATTGATTCTAAATGCCAAAAACACCTTAGCTTAATGATAAAGGTGAAACACTTTAACTGAGTTCAAGTCCTTTTCATGTTGGTTTTCTGCAACTCTTTTGTAGTGTTATCAAACAATTTGTTAAGGAAGACAGAAGCAATAGTTGTAGTTTGATATATGCGCTCAGACAGCAATCAAATTCGATTGGAAATAGAGGGTATTTGCACAGCAAACTGACTGCATAGCGATGTTTACGCATCTTAGAAGATAAATTAAGCAATCTTACTACTATTAGTAAATATAACTTTTTCTTTAAGTCATTTATTGAGGACCTTGAATTCATGCATTCACAAATCACAATCCTGGTGACCAAACGATTAAAAGAACTGCCCCTTTTAACCATTTACGCTTCAGGATGGATGTGTCTATGAATTGATTGAATTGAATTTTTCTCCGATGCACATCAACTTAGGATTTTCCTATTCCCTTTTGATTGTGAATTTTTCCAAAAGCAGATTCTTTTTTTTTTTTTAACAGAAAGTGGTTGCGTAGAGATAAAAGAAGAAATTGGGTATTTAATTCCAAACCTAGAATGACATTAACTAGCCGAATTAAGTCTCTGGTTCATTATTTTTCCAAAAGCAAATTTTGAGTTTCCATTATTTTAGCCAATTGCAGTTAAAGAAGTTGCTGGAAGTTGAAAACTACTATCAATTTCTGATACCCATCCTTTACCTGGTTTTTAATTTCTAAGAAAGGCTTCCTCAGGGGTAAAATCCCTCCAATTCCCATATCAATATGGAACAGAGTTTAAATTTAAGTTGAAACCAACCTTTGAAAATCTTGTCATTATCATCTGATACAAAAGCTAGCTGCATAATGCAAATCACCCCCACTCTCTACACCAACAAAACACTGGCAGCATCATGTTAACAACTCTTAAAGCTGTCCCCGCATTTCTTCGTTTTTTTTTTTTTTTCAACAATGATTTGAGACTTGCAGAAACCCAGTGATTAGAAATGTCAGAATTTTTTGCATTTAAGTGTGCTAAGAGGTTGGAGCCATCTCTTGCAATATAAGATACTATATAGATAGGACAGGATTCCATTTAGATTGTTTCATGCTACAAGCAAGGAAAGGATGAAACAAAAATTAGTTATTACCATGTAAATCATACCTTTCTCCCCTTTTGGATAATTATCAAGTAATCTACATTAAGTTTAAAAATAAAAAGAATGGTTGTAGATATTGGGATTTTAACTACAAACATGTTGAATCTTTTAAAGGTAATTTTATAAACCAATTAAGTTAAATTTTGAATTCAAATATAATATCTTTTAGCATACATAAAAAAAATTATTACATAATTTCATGAAAATTTTAGATTGAAGTGATCCCATGATTTGAGGGAGAGTGTCATATTCCAAATGAGAAGAAAAAGTGGAAACATCAAATTAATTTTCATGTTCCAATCTTCAAGATCAAGATTGAACACTATTTGACAAAAATCCAAAACATCAAAAATCTAACATGACTGTGTATGCAGAAAGAGAACCCCTTTTTGTTGAACCAAAAACGATGGGTAAGCAGCAATTATAGAAATTTGGGAATAGCTTTGTACGATAGCTCCAATCTTCATTTAGAAGACACTACCAACTAACAAAAGAGCATTGTCATTCATAGAATTTGAGAGATTACTTTTATACAATCAAACAAATATGTCTCATGTTGTCCACAAGCCTGTAAAAAGAGAAATTATTAAGTTGGACCAGACAAGATGGTAAAAGGAAAAATTATTAGATTGCAGCAACTGATCATGTAAGATTGTGGAAGAATTGGTTCTTTGTAGTTATCTCTGAAAGAAGAACTCATCGTGTAGCGAAATCAGGCTGCCGCCCACTGAGTTTTTGTCATCAAAAGAGACACAAGAAACCACCTTTCTTGTTTGAGAAGCTACTTAATTTTCTCTGGCTTACATGGAAATACATATAACTTTGTGAAATTTAATTGAGCATTTCAATTACTGGAGTTTCTGATAAATTATGTGGAGCCTAATTATTAATCTACACTGATTATTTGAGCAAATGCGTGCATCGACTTTGGTAATTATTTTCAGTTCTAGACCCATAATTCGATACCTTCATTGTTGCCAAATACCAGAGAGCTATTATAGACCTTTTGTACCTCGATGGCTAGCATACCATTCCCAGGTTTTGACAATGCAATTTGCTATTATTCCTTTCAGTTTCTAACCTGCAACCTGTATATATAATTCATCTAGCAGAGATTATCATTTTCGAATGGTGAAAAGATTTGCAGGCCATTTCCAGAGGAATTTTTTTTTGCTAGGCCAAAATCATTTTATTAGTAAGATGGTTGCCAAGAGACTCAAGTAAAACATCAAATATGTGATTCACGCATCTGAACCAAAGGCAGCAAAGCACAAAATAACATTGACAGTAAGAATCAAACCACTATTAATCACTGCACACAAAAGCGCTTCACGCCGTGAAGTTCCATATCCTGCCATAAATCAACCATTTCATATACTCCCATCAAGTAAAGGAGAGCCAAGATAAGTCCTATCCATCACTCACAACAAGATAAAACCAAAACAAAACTCAATTGAGAAACACACGCCAAGAGACAGCAAGCTTATTAGAACACAGCTACAACATAGCAGAATAGCCACCAACACATTAGAGAAGGCTATATAACACCAGCCATCCATTAAAAACACTCCCTTGTCCACATCACCCTTAGTCAATAGGGATGGCAATAAAAAGTAAATAAATAAATATCTGTCAATATTCCATCAAATTCATATAGTTATAAATGAATAATTAATGAATTTATATAAAAGATTTATTATTTATGAGAAATTCAAAGTGGATACAAATAGTATCATCAAAATATTCAATATTTGAATCCGTTTAAATTTTAATAAAAAATAAAAAATATCTAAATTTGTTTATGTTTTAATAAATAAAATTTTATACTTGAAAAAAGTTTTAGATCTTAAAAAATAATTTTTATTTATTATTAATTAAAAGTGAATTTAAATTTTAAATTAAATTCTTGCTTATTTTATATTTTGATAAAAAATTTAAATAAATAAATATTTTAACAAATTCATATATTTAAATAAATAGTGTTTATTTAAACGAATTTAAATTTAAATAAAAATATTAAACTTAAATATATATTTAAATGAATTAAAATATTACAAATATTAAAGGAACTCGGATGTGGTATCTTAAAAAAAGTGCACCTCGGCTTCATTGCCATTCTTATTAAACAAGGCATCACCAAACTGTAAGAAGATTCTGTCCAATCCACGTCACACTTAACAAATCCTCGAATTGATTCCTTTGAAAGAGAGACGACTCGAATTGATTCCTTCGAAAGAGACGAATCGTAAATAGTCACATCCCAGCTATACTGCACCGACAAAACTTATGGATGCTTCAGATCTCTACTCAACAATGGCATCCTCACAATTCGCAAAGAAGCCCAGCATTTTTCCCAAATACCAAGTGGCTTGTACTTCCTTTGTAATGATCCGAAGTCGATTCTAAAATCACCATCGGATAGTGATTCATTTGCATACTTTTTAACTCCTTTATACTAGACTTCCCTTAACTGTATCTTCTTTGCTTTTCTCCCTCTCTTTATCTTTTGGGATAACTTCTTGTTAAGAGCTTCTTCAATCTCCTCCCAAGATTTTATTTTACAACTTTCCGATTTTTAGACAAAAAACATCGCTTCATGGCCACAACATTTTCCATACCAGCTTGAACATTTTACCCCTTACTAACTCCCTCAAACTCCAAACTGTTTACACTTGCAATCAATTTAGGATCAGTAACTATCTCCATCAACTCTATTATCAACATCCACACGAACATCGTCTGAATCAACCACCACTTCCTCAGTAGCATTTCCAGAGGAACAGATGAGTGGAACGATGTGACATCTGTTATAAGATGGTATAAAAGCCCTAATTCTTAGTTGTAAAATTTCCGTTACTTGAAAAGTTCAATGGCCATAATAGATGCGGAAATAATAATTGAGTGTTTAGCCCTGCTGGTTTCGGTTTCTCTGCTTCCATTGAAAATTTGGCATTGATTTGGACTTCAGAAAAAAGTTCATTGATCAAGATGAAGGAACCAAATTAACCATCGCATTGAACCTTGGTGTCATCTTGTTAGCTCCCTTCGCAAAAAGTATCCGTGGGATTTTGTCTTAAGTATGTCGTCAAGGCCTCAATTTTCTTATTGTCTGCCCAGTTGGGATGAGAATGCGAAATCCTCAAGGACAGGCCCAAATGCCATGTAAGAGAAAAGAGAAAGAGCAAATTCAACTGCACAGTGCACACATATACTCTGCACCATGAAACATGCAATTCACACATAAATTCGAAGGTTTTTTCTGGATGTGGAAGTTCTTTTCCCAGAAAATATATCTTTTCCCCCAAACAAACTGACCATATTGGAGCAACAAAAGTGTAAATTACTTAGAAATTTCGCACTTTCTGTTGAACATAGTAGAATTGATGATAAAGAAACCAGTTCAGAACAGTATTTAGCTGATGCTCTTGAAAACATTGACTCCATTAGCAGGCCATGAAATATCTCATGGCGCGAGATGCTTGATGACTTCAGGGTTATGCTCGGAAAGTCATAATATCAAAAGCTTTAACTTAAGACATGAATGAAACTCATCTCAATTGAATTCATGGTTTAGAGCAACCTAGAAACCTAACCACTCATACATTAGAACTACTACCTCCAAAGTCCCCTATCAGTCTGGGGCTCTACCTAAAGCCCTGCAATTCCTAGTTTTACAAGTTAAAGGAGAATCAATGGTGGAATACGACCGATCCATTGAAGGATATGAAACTTAATTGTTCCCATTCACTCCTATGTGTTTGCATAAATGTAATAATTGAAAGAGCAAAATGTGGATATATAGCTAAATCCTTTTTCCAAATTATCAACAAACTGATGCAGCTATACTGATACACTAAATGAAAAAGTTGTTTTACCATCACATGTTCCACGATTTTGGAGAATTAAACAGCAGCAAGATTCATCATAGATCACATGCATCCATCACCCTTGAACTATTCAAAATAGAAAAAATTGCAGAGACAGGAGCTACATTAAGCATCAAGAAGAAGGAACTTACACAAAACCCTCAACTAGATTTGGTTTTTCTTTTCCCCTCTCTTCCTCCTGATTTTCATTCTTCCTTTTCTATTTCTCTCCAATCTTCAAACCCTTCTGCTCATCATCTACACAACCCTTCCCGTCCACCGCCTCTCCACCATCACCACCCACAGACGCTGTATCCTTACCTTGCACCACCTCCCTATCCCTACCGCTTCCCTTTTCCTTAACGCATTCTTCCACCGAATCCGAGGCAGAGTCCGAAGACCCTACAACGAGTACCAGGTCAGGCATGTCCGGACACGGTGGCGAAACAAGAATGTCGGAGGAGCACTTACCGTTCTCGCGGAATGGGTCGTCTAGGCATCCGGGTTCAACTTCATCTTCATCATCACAGTGGAAGAAGGTGGCCTCACGTGACTTGACAGCGAAGGCTGCTTTAAGGAAGGCCTCGTGTATAGAATCTGGCGAAAGAGCACAGTCCTCGAGTCCCGCGTCTTCCAGGCGTGGAGGGAGGATCCCGTCTAGTAACCCTGTCGATTCTCGTCCTCTCTTGGCTTCCATGGAATTTTTTTCAAAATGTTTTAGAACCCTAATCCTTGAATTCAAAGAGAGGAAAAGCTTTTAGATTGGGAGATTCCGCTAGACAGGGAACCTTGGTCCAGTAACAGAGAATGAGAATGAGTGAGAGAATCCAATATTGAGTTTTTGCGCAAGTTGACTTGGGAAAGTATAGCTACAGTTACCCTTACCCACAAAATTTCTGGAGATTTCTTTATTTCAGCCTATATTCTTCCAGGCCCAAAAAAAATGAATTTATGGTCCAAAGTCCAAACTTCCTGCTATTTGTGCTAATTGGTATGCAGAGCTTCAATTTGACACCAGGTATGGGAGTTACTTACAACAGATTGAGAGGGTCATTAGACTTCTAAGTTATTACTGTCTTGATAATCAGAAGAATCAATTGGGCTTGGAACTAGTTCTAACCAAGTTAAATTTAAAAGGCTTAGGGGTTGAACTCATGCACAATAATTAATCGAACAATATAAAGAATGAAACAAATATAATTGCAATAGATTACAACATTTCAGGAAGGTTATCCATCAAAAGTTCATACATATTACCCGAAGAACAAGATAGGAATACAATAGTGGTTCCATATTTTTTATTACAGAATATCAGTGATCATGGCATAGAAAGTAAGAACCATGGTACAATTACTTTTAAACAGGACCAAAAAACAATCAACTTTTGTAAATCGAATGAAATCAACAAGAGGATCACCTCAACTTTTCTTTTCTAACCAACTTATGATACAAAATCCAACCTTATAGGAGTATTATCATCCCCGGTTTATTAGTAATTGTAAGAACATGCACCATTAACTGATAGAAATGTGAAATCTATGGCGGCTGTTTTTGCACTCTGGAAAAAAGAGCCCCATGCAACAACTCTTTTAACATTCACACCCAGTCGATCTATGCAGCCGTCCTCCACCAGCAACATCAATAGTTTCAGGAAGGTATCTTTCATCATCAACAAAACAAGAATTGAACACAGACAATTAGCAAACTTAATATAATGTGGTTATCCAATCTAATTTGAATATTCACAGGGCTTTCTACAAACCATTGCACAGAAGCAAAAATACATATTACTATATGGACATTACATTTTTCATGTTTAAGAAAAGTTTGACAGACAGACAGGCATAAGACAACAAAGAAATTCCATGAGGCATTTATGCCGGCCATTAAAAAAACTCCTATATCTAGCAGATTAGTTTTTGAACTCTAAGGGGCTCAATTTGTCATTCAATTTGGATAAGATCACAAGATACACCTAATAGAAGATACTGAAAGGATCTCATGGACATAAACCAAAGCTCTCCAAGGAAGAATTTCAATAACAAAGCAGTTCAAAAATGGAATTAAGTTACTCCCTTAAAGATATCACACATAATGGTGCATGGATAGATCACATTAAAAATGAACCCACATACAAGTTCCTAAGAAATGTCTTTAAAGAGCATTCAATTGCAATTGAAGAAGTAAAAACTTGTCCATCATAGAAAGGCCAGGTTACATCTCCTAAAGTCAATTCACTCTCTTTGTTATGTTATTCTAATTTAAAATTTTTATTTTATTTCTTTGAAGACTGATGCATCAGCATAAACATTTTATTAAATATCAAGTTCTTTGTAGAACATCATTGATTTATGAAAGTTTTGCTTCCCACCATCTCTTAGTAACAGTAAGCACATGATTGAAAAAATAAATAAACTATTCAGACACATGTGACACTTACATTTCTTCTTCAGGTTCATTCTTGAGAGCATTTTTGGCTATGCACTCAAATGCTGCATCAACATTGAATCCTTCTTTTGCAGAGGTCTCAAAGTATGGAATGTTTCCCTTTGAAGCACACCATGCCTTTACTTTCTTTTCAGAAACCTAAACCAGAAAGGAATAACCTCATTTATACATCATCTGAAAACCCATTCACAAATCACAATTCCATTTGATACAATAAAACACTAATAAAGCTTTAGGCACAAATGGAAGGGAGAAGACATGTCAAAAGAGTGGAAGACATTTTACCACTCGACTGTTGCCACCATCAACATCAACCTTGTTTCCCAACACAACAAATGGAAAGTTTTCAGGGTCAGATGGACTGGCCTGAACATTCAACCAGAAAATAACAACATTAGTCATTCTCCCATTAAGATATTCTACATGTCATTGAATAGAAGATTACCTGAATCAGAAACTCCTCCCGCCAGTTGTTAAGATTATCAAAGGACTTCATGACATTCACATCATACACAAGTACACAGCAATCAGCACCACGGTAGAAAGCCACACCTAAACTTTGAAACCTTTCCTGCCCAGCAGTATCCCATATCTAAGCACACAAAGAGAAAAAAGAGTATCAACACTAAGAAATGTAAATAAAGCTTATTTACAAATAACAGTCAAAGGTTGGCTTGGTTTCTACAATTGACATTTGCCACTCAAGGATGGCAATATCATACAGTATATTAACTTATACAAATGCTGAAAATCAAACTGCATTTTTTTGTGCTCAAGATTATCAGGGATTGAACCTTGATCACTGAAATTCACTTTACCAACAGACTACACTGACTATTGGCAAAATCAAACTGCATTATTATCATGTGGCACAGCAGAAATTAAATTCAATTGCAAAGAGTTAAATATAGTTGTAAAATCAAGGAAATAAAAATAAATTTTTTATTAGAAAATGAACATTTTTTTTTACCTGCAATGTAAACAATCTATCCTCAAATTGAACCTCTTTTGTCAAAAAATCGGCCCCTATGGTCGCTTTGTACTGATTACTAAACTTACGATTAACATACCTAATTTCAATAAAATTAAATAATAATTAAAACACCAGAACCAGATATTGAATATCCCAAATTCAACAATTAAAAAGAAAAAAGAAAAATTCAGGATTTAAGTTTCAAAGCTTACTGATTCATGAGAGATGTCTTCCCAACCCTAGAAAATTAAAAAAAAAAATAAAGATAAAAAGAAAATACATGTTAGCCAAAAAAATCAAATAATAATAATTCAAATGGAAATGCAACAAAATCTTACAAGATTTTCAAGTCTAAAATCAAAAAGAAAGAAAATTACCCGCTGTCACCAAGAATTATGACCTTTAGAAGCATACGACGACGAGAAGCCATGGGATCGGATTTCAGAAATTTTATTATTACTTTTAATAATTTTAGAAAATTGTGGGATTCTATTTCACTAAAAAAGAAAACGAAATCCTTATATAGTTTTCAGCCGCCCAAGTAGGCAAGCTCAAGGACAGCAAAGAGAAAGACCGTTGACAATATTCCAAAAATGCCCATGTTTATATGTTGAAATTACCTTCTTTTTTTTTGTATCCCTTTAGCTAACCTTTTCATTTTCATTGGATTTATATTATATTTTTTCAAATTTTGGCCTCGTATTTATTCCTATGTAACTTTATTTTGTGTAAGTTTTGGCCAAAAATATTTAAGTGTAAGTAAATAATAAATTTTGTTAATTATCTTACACATAAACGATTTTTAAATATAAAATTCTAACTCATACTCTAAAATATAATTAATGAAATTAAAATTAAATCGTTGAACATATATCATCCATTAAAATATAATTAATGAAATTAAAAATAAATCATTGAACATATGATAATTTTAGAACATCGCTCGTGGAATGACTTTGTATTTGTGGAATGACTTTGTATTTATTTAAACCTAGAACAAACATAATTAATTTCTTTGAGAATAAAGATAAAAGGGATTATGAAATATATATAAATTTTACTAACAATGTAAAAATAACAATTATCTGTAAAAATATATGCTACGAAGTCGACTCTCAGTTTAAGAGTATCAAGCTCGATTTTAATCCGAAGGACTTGATTTCCAATTACAATCCTAATCTAAAAGATAAAACGAAAAAAAAAAAAAAAATCAGAAATTGCATGGTTAAACAACGGTATAAAAAAACATGATACAATTGAAATTGTTCAAATTCAATTTTAATCAAATTAATTAATTATCAATTTAATTCAATTAATCAATCATCGAATCAATTTTAATTAATTATTAAAAATAATTTTTTTAAAAAATTATTTTTGATTAATTTAATTTAAAAATTAAATAAATAAAATATAATAAATTTTATATATATAACTAAAAATATCCTTTCATTTTAAATTATTAAAATTTTTAACTACACTTAAATACTTGAATGTTGTTGTCTCATTTTATTTAATTTATTTTACATACGAAAAATAAAATTTTAAAATAAAATTTAACTTAATATATTTTATTATTCAATTAATCAAATCAATTAAATTAATTTTGATCAATTAATTTTTAAAATTTTAAAAATTTAATATATTTTACAAAAATAAAATAAAATAATTTAATTTTTAACAATTCGAGTCAAAATTACCAAACACACCGAAATTAACACCCTTGGCTGCAATTTATTGAAGCTCATATGTAATAATTGATACAACACTTGACTTCCAGGCATGAACTAGTTAGTATTAGACTATTAGTACATCAAACATACAGACAATAGAGGTTTGAGAACTCTAAACAATCAAATATACTTGAAATCGAGGCGTTTTCAGTGGGAATTCACAAAATCCACCCAATCCTCTAAACCAAATATTGATTTCATTATCGTTGGCGGCTGACATTTTCGGATAGAAGAGGAAAACCAAAGACCTGGTGAGGGGAGGGGAATGCACATCTCAAACAAATCTTAAATTAGCTTTAGAAATGGTTTCCCCAAGTAGCAAACAAGGCAATAATGAATAGAGCTGGGTGGCAAAAGAATTGACAGTTTTCCAAGCAATTTGCAATAGATTGTTACGAGCTTCTGCTAATGTCTTTGGTTTCCTTCTCCTCTTTCGACATTTCCATCTCTTGGTTAGTATGTTGGCCTTCAGTGCTGGAGCTAGATGGGTTAGCATGATACTCACTGGTGTGCCCACTGTGTTCACTACTATCAAGCTCTTGGCTTTCCAGTGCCATCTTCCTGAACTTCTTCATGTCTTCCCTGTATTGGGTTGAGCTGTAATCAGAGCTTTCATAGGAACTGAACACTCTGCTGTGCCCCGGTGCAATTCCCTCATTCAGATCATCCAGAGATATATTTCCTTCCAGAGCTCGAACTATCTGCTTGGTTAAGTGACAGAAAATGGTAACACGACAGCATACAGTCCAAGTTCATCAATAAAATATCCCAACCTCATCAAATTACCATTATTTGGAACATGTAGATGTTATAAATTAAAACGTTAAGGACTAAAACTTAATATTAAGCCGTTAGTCAAAATACCTGGCTCATCCGTGGTCGATGCCTTGCTGAATGGCGCACACAGGCTGCAGCACAAGCAACCATTCGAGTCATTTCACTGGAATCATAGTCCTTCAGCAATCTTGGATCCACAAATGCATCAAAATTTCCATGTTCCAAAGCTTGTGAGAGCAAAGGCCTTGCCTAGAATTCAATGAAAGGATCTGTTATTCATCCCATGCCGGTCAAGCACTACTACATAAGGATTTCAGACGGGGTTGGAAGGCCATTAGAGTTTGTTAGAGAAAATCTGGCAAATGCCTTAAACCTTTGGTTTTAAACAATTGAAAAGAATATAAAGATTGCCCCTTTAACACTAAGAAATCACTTAAAACCGGCAATATGCCATGATTGACTAATTACATACGTAAATTAAAGGGACTAATACTGATAGAAGGAATACAGACCCAATCAACTATGCTGTCATCAAAGAATGGTTGAGCCTTATCAACAGGGCGGCGTCCAGTAATCAACTCCAGAAGCACAACCCCAAAGGAGAAAACATCTGACTTCTCAGTGAGCTTCCCGCTGGAGGCATACTCTGGAGCCATGTAACTGCATGTGTACATTCTTGTCAGAAGGGATGCAAATGATTTTTACAGATGGAGAAAGCCATAATTTCTTTAATTTTTGCAAAAATATCAAATGCTATGAAGAAATAAGTAAAAATACATATATTACCCAAAAGTTCCCATTACTCGAGTGGACACGTGAGTATCAGTATCTAAAGAATACTTTGCAAGTCCAAAATCTGCAACCTGAAAGGAAAAATAGAGTGAAATAATTGTGTTCAAAAAGTACAGAACTTAGGTCATTCAAATCAAAAAGAATTTTTCTTTACAGCAATACATCCAGAACAGGGTTAACAAGTTTTCACCAAATTTGAGATAAAAGTATTTAAAAACTCTTATGATCAAATTCATTTTCCATTCAGTGCTTCAATCAAAAGGGTGATTTGCTCATTGAAATGTCATGCAAAAACTAAATGAAAATTTAATTTTTCCAAGAGACATCCAAAGAGCTGATATGATATTGAGAAACATATATGAACTTTCATTTGCTCTCAGGAGGCAAAGGGATAAATCAATCTTGAGGCTATGTAATAATAGCACCCAATTTGAATAACTGAAATCATACCTTTGCCTCAAAGTTATCATCAAGAAGAATGTTAGCTGCCTTGATATCACGATGTATGATCTTGGGCTGACCTGATTATATTTATGTTTAGGGGGGAAAAGTAGAAACTGTGAGACTACAAACTGGAGAGTGCTGAAACTTCACAACTTAAAGAAGATATGTAAACAATCCTTACAGTCCTCATGCAAATATGCCAATCCTTTGGCTGCACCCAGAGAAATTTTCATTCTGGTTGACCAGTTCATAACCGGCCTCTCTTTTCCTGCATGTTCATTTTCATCCAGTTAAAACCAAATTACCATAGTTAAGATACGCACATACAGCTATACAACCTTAATCCAAGTTGTGATCTCAATTTTATACTTCTGCCCACTATGCCTGTTTAACAACCAGTTAGTATCATGATTATATAAAGAAAATAAACACTTTTTGTTTCATATAAAGTATATGACTAATCTATTAATTATCCATCAAATTCAAGAAGTTCACAATCTTTATTTTTCCTAAATTCTTATATTTTTATCTTCTGCATGAGTATCTTACATATTTTTTTCAACTTCTTCACTTTTTTACAGCTCAAGTTATGAATTTTTAAAGCTTTATCAAGTATTATTCAGTACTAAGAACCAAACATCAACAAGTACCACCATTTGTTACTTTTGTTGCCAAGCACCATCCTGAAGCAAGCTAGAAAATAACAGTACATTTTTCCACTTCCATATACAATAAATTTATTGCATTTTCACCATTTCAAAAAAATCCAATATTTCATGACTGACATAGAGTTTGACCCATAACACAGAATATCAAAAATCATTTGAATTAAGAACTTCAAAATTCCTTAAAGCACCTAGATAGAAGGAAAAGAAAGAAACCACGAATATGAGTTAGCAAACTTTGCAAAATTTTCAAAAGAGAGATGATATCAGCAAAATAAGCAAGTAATTAAAACAAGAAGAAACAAAATTATGATTAGCACCACAACATTCATCTTCTTCTTTATTTTTTGGCTAGACAATGCTTATCTTCTCACAGCAGGTGGGATGGGAGAGGGATTTAACTACCAAAATGACTCACTGTGTAAATGAAATTCTAACGTGTTGTTTGGAACAAACTCGTAAACAAGCAACCTCTTGTCTCCCACAATGCAGTATCCAACTAGTGAAACAAGATGTCTGTGATGCACACGGCTGATGATGTCAACCTCTGCTTGAAATTCACGCTCACCCTGTCCACTTCCAGCCTTTAACTGCTTAATTGCAACTACTTTCCTATTTTTTAGCACTCCTTTGTGGACATAACCAAAACCTCCTTGACCAATGAGGTTAGGATCAGAGAAATTATCTGTTGCCAATGCTAAATCTTCATAAGTAAATGCGCCCAGGGAATGTCCAATGGCCATTCCTGGGGGAGGTGAAGGATGTGATGGTTTCTCAGAGCCCAAACTAGTACTCGTTGAAGGAGGTTCAGTAGAAACATAAACATTCACCGGTGACTGATGAAGAAGTGGTGCAATTCCTGGTGGAGGAGTAGGCTTAGGCAGAACAGTAACTTGAGGAGCATTCTGCTGCCAATGCTGAGGATCAACTGTATGTATAACAAGCATGCAAGAATTAGTTTAAATTCTTTAAACTTCAGAACATTGGACCATTGACATTAGACTAAAAACAAAGAGCAGATAACTGTCCCACTAAAACATATCATAGAAGAATGAAAAAGAAGAATGCTTTAGCTGAATCAAAATATAGGCACGTAAAAAACCTTCAATATGTTATTTGTTTCTAATCAAGCATGACCCAAACGAACTCCCATATTACTAGCAGTTATTTTGTACAGCACAGCAGATGAAACTGCCAAAGTGTAAGTACCGGTTGACCACTCCCTTTCCCTAGAAGTATGTGCGAGTGCACGCGCACACATACTAGCACATGCATGACTGCATTATTTTCTTGTATGCATGTGTGGACAGGCATATCTCATGTGCATCTAACTTTTGAGAGAAAAACAAAGATATCTTTAAACTAAATACAAACTTTGAATAGGATGAATCTCATTCTTTTATAAAGGGTTTATGCAAATTAGTATGGAAACATTGGGAAATCACCACCATGATAAGAACAATAAAGCGGATACCCACTTCTTAATCAACAAAAGACTACAAATTCATAACAACTTCAAAACCAGAACTTGATAAACGCAAATCATCGAAGCTGCAATCTTTTGGTATTCTCTGTTAATTTATTCATGTCAACTTTGAAAGAAAAATATGACATACTGTCAACATAGCAAATCTAACCGATAAATATGGGCCCCCAGATACAAATTAAACCAATGAAAACGAAAAATCAAAGTTTCAAAGCATAGCCAATTAAATAATACTAAAAAATAATGAAGAAAAAACTCAAGATTCAAATTCCTGACACCTTCAACCCCTTCCATTTCCAGATCGCAGTCTCTTTCCACCAAAAATAATGAAGAAGAAACTCAAGATTCACTATACTAAACTAAAAATCTTATTTAAAAAAAAAAAAAGATATTATTATATCCAAAACAACAATAAACAAACAAAAAAAAATAGATAACGCAAAGTTAGCAGAATGTAGATTAGTATAGTTTTCACATCATTGAACAATAGTACAAGATAATACAAACAAAACAAACACATTAAAATAAATAAACCTATACTTCATAAAATTAATATTAAAAAATAACGGCACAATATTTAAGCAAAATGGCAATAAACAACACTTCAAAAATCGAATTAATAAACTGCTATTATAAAAATTGAATTAAGAAGTAGTAGTGTTAAGTATTACCAAGTTCTTGTAACTATTTCATAAAATAAAAAATAAAAAAAATCTTTTTCACTGACCTTTAGGCCCTTGAGAAGGAGGAACCCCAGGATGATTCTGAGCAAGCTTCCTCTTCTTCCTCCTATAGAAAATTACAAAAATGCCAACTCCAATCAGCACAATTAACGCCCCGAGCCCTACGCCTACTATAAGCCCCGCTAATGTCCCAGGCGGCAAGCCATCGCTGGGAGGCGGCTGCAGCGCATCTCCTGACGTACCATTCGGAGAAGCAGCTGACGAAGGCGGAGGCGAGACGGCGGCGGAAGTACTCGTAGTTGGCGGCGGCGAGGAAGGAGGAGAAGAAGTGGTGTTGGGAGAGGAAGGCGGCGTCATCGGTGACGAAGATGGTGGTGTAGACATCGCCGGAGAGAATCTCCGATGAGATTTCGATAAAATCGAGGTTTTGAATACTTTTTTTTCTTCTTTTGTCCTTGAGGTTTGAAACAGAGTAGAACCTGAAAGAGGAAGAGTGTTTTTTTTTTTTTTTTTTTTTTGGTCTCGTGATTGGGTGGGAACAGAGAGAAGGAATGTGGACTGAGTGGGCCCCGCTTCTGACACCCAAAATGAGTTTATGAGAGAAAAGCCTTAACGACATCGTATTGAAATTTATGTGTTTTACTTGCGGACAAAATTTTGCTGGCTGTGTCCGTTTGTTCGCCTCCGCAACGGAGTGAGAAAATGTTGCAACGTGTGAATTTCTTTTTTTTTTTTTTTGGTTTTATTTAGTAGTAATAATTACAGTAATTAATTATTAATTTAATATATAGAACAAGATATCTTCATATTGAAATTTTATTACTTTTTTTTATTATTTTTATGATTGATTCATTTTAAAACTTATTTTCAAATTTAGCTTAAATAAGGGTGAAGAAGATTGTATCTTTTTAACTTCAAGAAAAAAGAAGATTAAAAATTGAAAATTAAAAAAATAAAGCAAATAAAATTGTATGACATTTTGCTGTAAGACGGCAACGAGCCCAGATGGGGGAAATGTAAAAAAGACAATGAGTCATGAGTCAGGGTCTCACGATATTAAAATTGATGAAAAATTTTATTAGTATTTAAATTTGGTTATAATTGAATATTGATTATTGAAATTAAAATTGAGTATATGATTGTTTGCGACATTGGTAAAAATTTTGATTAATAGAAATATTATTTTAATTAGTATTTTAATTAACAGAAAATTTATTCCATTCACTTATTTTAATTAGTGACGTAAATGAATCAAAAGTGAAAGAATTTTAATGTATTTATAATTTATTCATTCAATTAATAAATGTTAAATTATTTTTTATGATTATTTATTAAATTTAATAATTGAATATAAATAAATATAAAATTAAATTTATTCGTGATTTTGTTTTATTATTACATCTTTGAATTTAAATGAATTAAATATAAATAAATTTTATTATATTTATAATTTATTTATATAATAAATAATTTTTAAAATATTATTTATAATTATTTATTATATTTAATAAATAAATAATAAAAAAAATTTTACGAATTTTTTGTTAAATATTCTATTCATTTATCGCAATAAAGATAATTGGTAAAAGTTTAGGCTATCTGTTCTCGTTTATTATTGGCCAAAAAAACAAAGTAGTTAAACCTTAAAGGAATCACTCAACTAATTATGGCTATTAAAAGGAAGAAAGCAACTATTTTTACCTACAACAATAAAATTTGTGAGCAAATTGTGGGCTGTTCGCCCAAACCCGACTTTGCGCTTAGATTTATAGGGCTCAACCAGCCTAAAACTATTATTTTATTAATAAATAATATTAGTATATATTTTATTTAATTACATTTTAAATATAATTTTTTACTAAAAAATTTTAATATGAGGAGAGACTTTTTTAATCTAACGTCCGAGATAACTGCAGGTTTTATAAATCATTTATATTAAATTTATAGATTATTTAAAAAAATGCTACATAGATTCGAATTCAAACTTATATATTCGAATCTTCAAATCTTACAAATTCTTAGTAAATATAAAATATTTTTTAGTTGAAGGAAATTTTTATATTGAGTTAAAGTATTTTGCAGATGAAGATAATGATGAGTTTTTGTTTGAAAATTTACGCTTGATAAGCCCTTTCTTTAGTAGTATGAATAGGGATGAGTAGAAATCGATTTGAAACGATTAAATCATTTAAAATTGAATGAATTCGATTGATTAAATTTAGTTTATTCAGTTATAATTATAATTAATTTTTTAAATTAATTAAATTAATTAATTTAATTTATTTTTTATTTTTAAAATTAATAATTGAACTAACCGAACAACTAATTTTTTAATATGTAAAGATCAAATTTTTTATTTTTTTATTTTTCTTATAAAATATTGTTAAAATTATTAAATTCTTTAATGATTTAGTTTGAATAATACTTGAATTTGAATTTTATTAAATTGAATTTATGATTAAATAACTATTCATAATAAAAAATAAAAAAATTTGATTATTTAACCAAATTAATTGAATCAAATCAATTTTGATCAGTTCGTTATGATTAATTATTTAAAAAATTTCAATCAATTCGATTATTTGTTTAATAAAAATCGATTAAATTAATTATTAATTTTTTCAAATTGAACGAATCAATTGTTTAGCTTTAAGTACGAAGAGTTAAAATTGATCACCAATTACTTAGATTTAGTATTAATTTTAAAATTATCATGGTAATTTAATTATTATAATGATAAAATTATCAAGGTGATTTGATTATTGATAATTTTAAATTATTAAATTTGATATAATATTATAAATCAATTGTAATCTTAAATCATTGTATTTATTATTATATGAAAAAAATAATAAAATATTAAATATTAAAAATAATTTTATAAAAAAGTAAAAAAAATTAATACTTATTAAATCAATAATTTATAAAATAATTAAATGTTATTTTATAAAAAATTATAAAATATAAATCAATTTTGATGACAATTAAGTTTTTAAAAAAGTATTAAATAATTTCATTTTTTTATAATTAATAAATATTTATTCAATTGTAATAGAAAAAAATTTTAAATAAGTTATTAAAAAATATATTTTTAAAAATTTTTACTAAATAGTTTTCGAAGGACATGTTAAATATATCTTTCATCAAATTAAATTAATCAAAAAATGATATTAAAAATTATTTTTTTATGTTGATAAAATTTTTCTATCTTTTATATTGGAAATCATATCAACTCTTAAAATAATGATTTTATCACCCTAATAATTTAAAATTACTGTTGTATAAAAATTTTAAATTGCTACTAAATAAAGTAATATAATTATTGAATACATATTATTATGATTTTTTGAACAAGTTACCTTATACCCAACACTCTCTTAATACAATAATAATACTAAGATTCATTCTGAATCTAAAATTTATCATAATCATTTTATGTAATTATTTTTAAATATATATTTGAGAATTTAAGCTCGATGAGCCTATTCCTGGAAGTAAAATGAGTTGAAATTGAACATCACTTAATGCAATAATAACACAAATATTTATTCCGAATTAGAAACTTATATTAATTATTTTATATAATTATTTTTAAATATATATTTAATAAATTTAATATTAAAATTTTTTATTTATAATTTTCTTTCTCATCTTCATATTGCGAGTTCTTTAAAAATAATACGGATTGTAAGTTTATTTGAACCACAAATCTCATATTCTCATTTCACTGCGATTTTGAAATAAAGAAGCTTGAGTAAGAGACCCTTAAATCACGAGGCAGAATTAATTTACCAAAAGAAATGATGATCTTTGCCGCTTTGTAATAATAATAAAAAAAAAAATAGCGTGGATTTTGCTGCTGTTTGGTTCCCATAGCATTTTTGATACAGCGGGATTAAATTTATTGTATTTTTAATTAAATTTAAATGTTAATTTTAATAAATTTAAATCAATATAAATTTTTTTATCGAAATTATAGAAAATTGTTTTAATCATTACTATAATAAATATTATTATTATTTTTAATTTCGTGACAATTAAACTTACTATCCAACACGGAGCCTTTGACTGATCTGTTCCCAAGGCTTCTAAAATTATGAGGCAAGACCGACTAGACAAATCCATGGAGTTGGCTTCCAATCTAGCATAAAATATCTCTTATCTCGACATCTAAAGAAACAGACTCCCGAAAATTAGTTTAGTTGACAAGAAGAGAAATTTTTTTTTTAATTAACTAGAATCGATCCTCATGAAAAGCATCTTAAAAGTTAAATTCCGAACACACAAAATTAATATATTCAAAAAAAAAAAAGAAAAGACCCATACATACAGAATCAAAAGATTCTTCTAATAACGTTATAAAACAACTTAAATATAAAAAAAAAAACACACTTAAAATAATAAAAAAATAATTATTTAAATTTTTATTATTTTATTATAATCAATTTATAATTTTAATATTTATTTTCAATTAATTAAATTTTTAAATTTTTATTTTTATTTAATTAAATTATTAAATATTTATTTTCGTCCAAGTAAATTACTAATTAAACAAAAATAAATGTTATCAGTTAATCAATTTTCATATAATAAAAACTCAATTGATGAATAAAATATTTAAGAGTTTAATTAATTAAAATAAAACAATAAAATTTTATATAATTGTTCAATTTTAATTTAAAAGATTTTTTATATTCTTCTACTTCTAAAACAACTAAAGAAAGATTGGGCAAAAAAACAATTAAAGAAATGAGGTTGAGTTTAGTTACGAAATAGATTTGATAGTTCGTGTTATTATATAATATAAAATATTATATTTATGTGTTATTTTATATAAAAATTATTTATCATAATTTATATTGATATGAAAATATAAAATATAATTTTTTAATTTTATTAAATTTATTTATAATTTTTAAAATTTTAAATCATATTATTTTTATATTTTTTATTCTTATAATTTATATATCATATTATTATATTATATTTTAAATTATTAAAATTACACAAAAATTAATCATGCTTATCACTTCTCCCTTTAGGACCTCGATGTTGAAAAAGCATCAAATTTGCGTACTAAGCACGACATGGATTCCTCTAAACAAATGGTTTACGAATGCTCCAACAACTTCCCTTCGTTTTGTTGGGTTTCATTGTGAAAGTAAGATATGTTTAAGATTCTTTTTGCAATATTTTTAAAGATATTTAAATAAATTTATTTATATTAGACGTAATAAATTTATAAAAAATTATTTTTCACATCCTCTTAATTTTTAGATACATGCAAAATACAAAATTTTGATTTTTCCTTTTAGTGGTTATAATTTTGCATAAAATTAAATGACTTGTAAATTCTACAAAACAAAAAAAACCATTTTGAAACCAAGCAGATGAACATATAAGAAAATTTATATTTAGGGTTGCATAGTATTGCAAGCAATGTTACTGTGTATGTGGACCAACTATTTAGTTTTCGAAGATTTTTTATTTTTTTTGCTACTCCCCTATAATTATTTTCATTTGATCTTTAAGT